GGGTTGGACTAGAAAACCTCCAAGGTCCCTTCCAGCTCTATTCTGATTTGGGAAAGAGAGGTTAGGATTATGGTTGGAAGCCTGATTGATTGCAAGGCCATGCTCAGCTCATTTTCATTTTCAATTCAATTGGAATGGGAAGAGCTTAATTCCCTTGGCGCCTTCAAACTATTTGGAACAAATGTCCATTTTTGCATCTTAACATAATTTGAGGATTTCACCCCCACATCTGTTCCTAAATCAAATTGGCTAATCAAATTTCAAAGTCACAAGAAAACCTGTGTATATTTAAAAAGAAAAATGTCTGATTCTTTCCAAACTGTAGCCAGTCTGTTCTAGCTGTTTCGTGTTGTGTGTGACAAAATTACCTCAAAATGCCACAATCCTTACGGTGTGGCCTTTGTAGTGGCGTACCCTTTGGTGAAACGTGTCTGATAGAATGCACGAGTTCCGCATCGCTCCAGTGTATAAATGTCATGTATGAACCATTTTTATGTAACCTTGCGTGCGATCCCATTGTCGGTGTGTAGTGTGAAGGTACCTGCCGTTTGAATTAAGCACATCAACGCGTCGTAGAAAAAAAACCTCACTAAAGCAATACCAAATGAGATTTGCTAACACAATGCTCAAACCTGCCTCTTTTTCTTCCGATTCCTATCTCGGTTCCAATGATAGGTTATAAAAAGTACAATAGGGTTAGAACATCTACGACACGGTCCAACCTTGGCTGCTTTAAGACCTGTGGACTTCAACTCCCAGAATTCCCGAGCTGTTGTGGCCCGCCAGACTCGGACAGTGAGGAGGTTGGGAAGGAGCATGGGCCAGTCCTGGAGTCTGGGGAAGGCTCTGTGTTGGAGGCAGAGATGGGGCCAGGGCTGTCCAACAGTTATCAGCTGCCTTGGGTGTCGGAGATCAGTGGGGCAGAAGAACAGCCGGAGCCTGTTCCCAATGTGCGCATGTGCAGAGCTGCCAGGAAAAGGGAACAGTTAAGGAACAAGGGTTGACTCAGAAGTAAAGGCACAGGTGGGTGGTGAATGTCTCCTCCCATAGGGAATAAAGAGGAGTGAAAGGGGGGTGGTGTTTGTAGGAGTCAATTAGTTCGTTTAATTAGTGCGAAGATTTGTTCCTGACTCTCGGAGACTCCTTGCCAAGTATTTCCTTATACAGCGTTGTGCTTGGAAGCTATCGGCCTGGCAACTCTCCAAGCCTCATAAGGTCTGTGGTTGTAATTCACCCTTGAAAGGCTGTTTGCTAAGACTTTGTTGGATGCGAATGATAGGAATTCACATTAGCCTAATAAAAAGAGTCGGCTTCGTGATTCTGTGAAGCCTCAGTGAGAACACCAGCCAGAAATACTGGCTAGCTGGCTGGGGGGAATTCTGGGAGTTGAAGTCCACGGCTCATAAAGTGGCCAAGGTTGGATATCTCAGGTCTATAGGTTGTAGGCTTATAGCCGCCATTCTAAAAAACAGCTACAAGTAGAAGGGAAGGTCTGTCAACCTCTAACAAATTGCTTCTTCCTTGAGGACCGAAGATAATGGCACAGGAAGCAACCATTTGCTTTACACAATCCTGATGGAATTGGTACCCATCTGATTATGGGTCCGACTAAGGGTTATGTCTAGGCACCACAGATAAATCTGACCATTATGTTGAGTCTTATCTAGTATTGTGGCTACATCTTAGTTTGAGCAACGTGGTGGTGGGGATATTCTCTTTTTCATACCTTCCTGGAAATGGGAGATATTTTCCAGTATGGATAATGGATTTTCTAATCTTGCCAGGTGTGGGGATGATGCTACAGTAACTTGCACACACCTTAGTTTGGACTCATTAAAATGCTGTTGTTCCCAGTATTGTAGAAGCTATAGAGTTTCTACGGTGAAGTATGTATTTTACACTGCATATAAAATTGCTAAATGATGAAGAACTATTATAAGAAAACAACAACAACCAAGGAATCTCATCAAATATAACAAAGCCTGTTTGGGATTCTGAAAGGTTTAACACTCTTGGTTTTTATCGCAGTGAAAATGAAATGCTTTTCACTGTTTACATTGTGTGTATACAATATTTTGTATATATTGTGTAAATACAATGGGAAAAAAATTAAATGATTACCATTTCAAGACTTGGAAAAGAAAGGAAATTGTTGTTTACATCTGTCAATCTACTTATTTCACCTCTCTACAAATATAGTACTAGAGAACAATCAAATTGTTAACGCTTAAAATATGAATTGTTCTTTCATGGTTTCTCTAAACATGCTTTGGGCCAGCTTGCAATACGCTGGGTTTATCTGGTGTAAAGCAAGGTGTAAATCCTTGCTCCAAAGTTTAATTGCTTCCCAAAGCCACAGGTTATAGAGGGCATATGAAATCAAAGGGAGGGAGGGAGGAAGCAAGGAAGGAAAGAATGGATGGATGGAGGCAGGGAGGGAGGGAAGGGAAGGAAGGAAAGGGAAGGAAGGAAGGCAGAGGGAGGGAACAGAAAGGGAGGGAGGAAGGCAAAGGAAGACAAAGGGAGGGAGAGAGGGGAAAGGAAGGGAGGAAGGAAGGCAAAGGAAGGAAAGAAGAAGGGGGGCAAAGGAAGGAGGAGGAAGGTAAAGGAAGGAAGGAAGGAAGGAAGGAAGGAAGGAAGGAAGGAAGGAAGGAAAATTTCTGATGCTCCTTGACAGCTTTGGGGAAGTTAGCAGGAAGTTGGAAGTTACTCTAACTCCTCTACTCATTCTGTTTCTCTGTTTAGGTAAAGACCTGTCGTGTCTGAAACAATGACCCAATGCTCTATTACAAATGTCTAGAAATATATCCCCCCCCCCCCCATTGTTATCTAATTTACCACCTTGTAACCATGGTTGACTTGGAAAAATAACTTCTTTGCAGACAAGAGAAAACTCAAGAGGTGTCTACAGGGTGTGGCAAAATCGAACATCAAACAGCACGCCTGATGGCGTGAGATCAACCAACAATCCATGTTTTATGTGCCTCACAGATGTTGCAAGCACATTAAAAAAAAGGAAGCAAAGCTTTGATATCCAAGATCCTGGCCAGAATATCTTCGGTGTTTCTGACCACACCCTGGAGACATCACCGATTCAAACGTTGGGTGTGAACGAGACATGATAAAGCTACGGAGCAGCTCCGATTTTTCAGACAATAAACTTGATGGAATTCTTCGCCTTCGAAGAGTTTAATGCTCGTCAACATAGAAGACAGACTTAGATGTCTTCTCCTACCATCTCAAATTGTCCAAAGGCAGGGAATTGGCTCATGGAGACAAAGGATCTCCAAACTTGGTCACTTTTTAAGATTTGTGGCTAGCCGGGGGAATCCTGGAAGCTGGAAGTCCACAAAGTCTTTCAAGTTGAGTTTGGAGATTCCCTGAGCTGGGCTCTCCTTCAGCTTCCAGTTCAAATGCCAAAGGCAGCTTGTGAGAAGACCGGGTGTTCCCATGATGGAGGCACCTGGCTTGTTTCTTGCGTCTTCCGGCGTCAACCGATAGTAAAAATTTTAATATTTTTACCTCAAATGAGCCAGGTGCAGGGTGCCATCTTCTCTTCAGGGTGCCAAATCCTCTTTGGGTGGCATAGCTAGGACCTTGGCATCACAACCAGGTGATGTGCCCCAACCAAGGTGGGTGAAGGTCCAAGCATTATATATGGTAGGTTCCTTCAGAATGGTAGATAACAGTCCAACTTCCCTTTAAGCTCTCTCTTGTGTAGTATCTACAACTACACTGAGCACCTGAGGCAGATGCTATAGGACCAGTTTCTCCTGTTTGGGACTCACTAGATACAACAGTGAGTGTCAGGATTCCGGCAGTTACTCCAATTAAATCATGAGCCTCGAGCCACACTCCCAAAACTAAAAAAGATTTATTTGAAGGTAACATTCTACGTCTGGCATTAACCTGGGCGTAGCCAACTCTGAGATATGTAATTCACTGTCACCCTTGATCCTGCTCCCCGCCCCCATCATCCAACGAAACACGTCCATAGCCAAGTCATCAATCATGCTCTCCAATTAGATTTTTGCTCGGCAGAAGCTTCAGTCATCTAATCAGTCTTCGAAGAAAATATGAATGGAATGTACTTTCGATTCCACACTGCCGCCTGCTCTTTGAATCTCCCCTCCCCCTTCTTTCTGTTGTCAACTATAAAATGTGTATACAAAATGTTTTATGAGTTGACAGTGAGTTGCATCTAGACTTACAACAGTTCATTTCATGACAGTTCAGTTACAATGGCACAAAAAAAGGTGATTTATGACTTGGTTTTCACACTTACGACCATTGCAGACTACCGGCACAGGGTCGTAAAATTTGGGTGAAACCCTCTCCACCAATTTCTCATTTTGCAGCATACATTTTGGGCTTCACTGTGGTTGTAAGTGGAGGATTACTACCTGTATAAATCCCAGAGAGATAAGATCCCTGGTCAGTGTAACTGCAAGATCTAAGTGCATCTGTTGACCAACTGCAATGAAATCTGGTCTGTAGTTTCTTCTCTTAGGAAGCAACCCACTGCCTTACTCCCTCTTGATCACAAAACCTTCCTCAGTTTTTGGTAGCTGGTTTTTCTTCCGGCATGTATGTTATCGTTGCGATGCACCCATCGGTGCCAATCTGACTTCGTTCCAATTTTCTTAGGGGAAAAATATTTTGTGGGTGCCGTGGCCTAGAATTCATCCCTTCCGATAATTTTTTTTTTTTATTGTTACAAGTGTAAGTTGATTGTATGAAGGATTTGTCTGGTGTAATAAAAGTATATCATAACTTAGGGATAGACAAAATAATAATAACTCCTGATGCTGTACAAAGTGAACAATGTAATATAGACTAGTTACGTTTTGGTGAAAATTTCTATAGCATATGTGAATTCTTTTTTTTAAAATGACATCAAGTAACATTTTTTTTTCCTGGAAGTAAACATAGAAAGCATACGCAATTTTTTTAAAACAAACTGCTATTTTTTAATTATAAGGACATTTTTGTTACTAGGATTTACTACTTTGGGTGGTGGTAAGTGGGTTTTGATTTAAGTATATGCTTTCAATCCATTTGTTCTGTTGCATAACAATGCACAATTAAAAAAAAAGGCTCTGCTACCACTTCCTGTCTGGTATATTTGATTGCAAATTATGCGCTGGCAAGTCCTTGTGCGTTGTTAAACTGGCCTTTGATTAAGCAAGGAGAAGCGGACACCTGTGCTTTGGAAATACACAACTGGGTTGCTGAGTGGGTGGGCTGGAAAAGGATGCTAACCCAGAGCTTGTCTGAAAAGATCAGTGGAACAACTTGCCTCCAGAAGTTGTGAATGTTCCAACACGGTTAGTTTTTAGGGAGAGATTAGATAACCATTTGTCTGAAATGGTATAGGATTTCCTGCCTGAGCAGGAGGTTGGACTAGAAGATCTCCAAGATCCCTTCCAGCTGTTATTCTATTCTCTCTTCTCTTCTCCTCTCCTCTCCTATTCATTATTCTATTCCTATTCCTATTTCTATTTCTATTCTATTCTATTCCAATTCCAGTTCCATTCTATTCATTATTTTATTCCTATTCCTATTCTATTCCTATTCCATTCCAATTCCTATTCCATTCTATTCATTATTTTATTCCTATTCTATTCTATTCCTATTCCATTCAAATTCCTATTCCGTTCTATTCATTATTCCGTTCTATTCTGTTCTGTTCTGTTGTTGTTCTGTTCTGTTCTATTCCATTCTATTCCTATTCTATTCCTATTTCTATTCCATTCCTATTCTATTCATTATTCTATTCTATTCCTATTCCGTTCCTATTCCATTCCTATTCTATTCATTATTCTATTCCTATTCCATTTTAATCAGATCTGTTGATTCCAGGAGATCTGGTCTTGCACATGCTTGTACTTGATAATTTTGGGGATCCCTTGGGGAGTACCCAGGTCAAGGGATCCCCCCCCCCCCCGGATATAACAATTCTCCCTAACATTCTCTCAAAATCAGCTTCATGTTCCGCAAAAAATCCATGGAAGCTCAAAGTACAAGGCAGAGATGACTGGGATAACAGACTAAACAAGTTGGAAGGGATTTTGGAGGTCTTCTAGTCCAGCCCCCTGCTCAAGCAGGAAATCCTATATCATTCTAGAATAATGGTTATCCAATCTCTTCTTTAAAACTTCCAGCACTGGAGCATTTACAACTTCTGGAGGGAAGTTGTTCCACTGATTAATTGCTCTGACTGTCTGGAAATTTCTTAGTTCTAGGTTGGTTCTCTCCTTAGTCCAGGGGTCGCCAACCTTTTGGACCTCAGGGACCACCAAACTCATAATTTTAACTCCCGCGGACCAGAGACCCTGGGAAAATCCCCAAAGAAAGTATGCAGGAAAATTCCCCACACCGTTTTCCTACTGATCAATCATTCTTTATTTGAGATCGCAGGATACCGTCTCCAGCTCCATTCTCAGGGGGGGGAGAGACTTTTGGCTTCATGCAAGGAAAGCAGCAGGAGCAGCAGAAGTCTTTCTTTCTCTCCTCCAAACTCCGCCAGAAACGAGTTTTTGTTGGCGCAGCCTCTTGGAGCAGGAGGCCTTGCAGGATCCCAAAGGTTCATTTCTGGCGGAGTTTGGGGGAGAGAAAGAAAGACTTATGCTGCTTTCCTTGCATGCAGTCAAAAGCAGAAGAAGAAAGAAGTGGAAAGAAGCAGCCTGGTGGCCAGGCCAGGCGCGTGGGGCAAGTGGGGCAACTTCCCCCCTCCGCCCTTTCCCCCCTCCCCTCACTACCTCGTGTTGTTTGCAATGCAAGTGACGCAAGCCTTGTGTTCCCGCGGGCCACGTGGGCAGCACAGTCTTGTATTCCTGCGTAGCCTGGATTAATTGCTTTGGGGGTGACATTTCTCTGCGGACCACCAGTGGTCCCTGGCCCACTGGTTGGCGACCACTGCCATAGGCTGTCCCACATGAGAAAGTCTAGATTTCTGTGCCATCAACCAAATGTTAAAGAGAATGACGCTTAGGGTTGTGTGGGAACCAGAGCTTCAGTTTGAAATTTCCCCTCCCGAAGACCAAAAACAAGGAGACATCCCTTTCGTTCTAAATGTACAGAACAAGGTTTATCGAGTAGACGCTAATTACATTATGTACAGCCTTTTTCCTGAAACTTAAAAAAACAACAACCCTAAAACACAGCATCATTACATTTAATCATGCATAGAAAGGTCAAAACGCTACTTAAAACGCAGGAAGTGATTATTTTTCTTTTTTTTTCCATATTAAAACCAACCTGGCACATTTCGGTCACCACACATAATTTGTGCCACGGCTTAATATTTTTAAACAGGGTTGCAAATTCATGTCCGCGTATCCAAATGCCCCCTCCCAGTTTTGTTTTGTTTTTTTAAAGGTCTTTGCCTCCGGCCAAAGACCTCTCAGAAAGAGACTCACCCACACATGGATAAAGTGCATCGGAGATTGAAGCTTCTTTTGCAAACTGGCCCTTGGTGACTTCGGTGACGCGGAGCTGGCCCAGAAGGCGGCGCATTTCTCATACGGCTACGGCGCTCAGATTGCGGTTTCCTTCTGCGAAGTAAGTTTGGCGGCTCCGATGCCGCAGACAGATGCCACCTTGCCATGATAAGGTGGCCGGATCGTCTATCAAGCCTTCCAATAGTAGTGGGAATGCATGCGTAAACCACCATCTTTATGAGGTTTGGCTTCAGAGCATGTGCCCCAAAGGTGCTCTTTTTTTTTTGGTTTCCCCAAGAGTCAACTGGACTTTCCTGGTTTTTCTTGGGAAGATGTTTGGCTTCTCATCCCAGCTGAAGAAGCTTCTTGGATGAGAAGTGAAACGACTTCCAAGAAAAACCAAGGAAGTCCAGTTGACTCTTGGAAAAAGCCCCTCTGGGACAACCGTGGCCTGACAATCTCCATAAACTTCTATGAATGACAATCTCCACAGACTTCGGACCCCGTCTTTCCTCACTTATTTATTGGGGGGGGGGGGGGGAGCCCTTTAGCTCATGATCTGGCCCAACTTTGGCAGTTTGGATCTCAAACGTCTTCCAAGCTGGCCCAGTGCACTACATGTAATGCCCAGGCATCCCTTCTCTTCTTCTTCTTCTTCTTCAGAGGGAGCCCAAACAGCTGGTACCATTGTCAGTAGCATCCTCATTCCTCGGGAAGAGATAAGTCATACTCACAGAGGCTCCTTCTGCCATTCGCAAACTCTACCAATTACTAAATACATTCAATGTTCAAGATGAGATCCAAACAGTTCCTTAAGATGCTGTTCGGTGCCATCCTAGTAAGATTTTAATTTTTAAAAAATCAAATCAAATCAAATTTAAAAAAAAAAGTATTTTAAGTTATCAGGCGTTACTTTCAGATGCTACTCGAACAAATACAGTTGTTTTGAGAAGAGCAGGAACTAGCATTTATGACATATTTTTCAACAGGGCATCCTCTCTCAATCTAGTTCTTTCCAGATGGGCTGCATTACAATCCCCACCCTTGCCTGGGAAGCCCTGGAAGTCCACCAAGGCTTGGAGGGCACCAAGCTTTGGAGAAGGACCAGTTTGAACATCTGGAAAGTTCATCCCGATATTCCTTCAGGCGTCTCCCGCAAAATGATTATCCTGCGTTACACCCAAAGGAAAAATACAATGAGATTTAGAACAAGGGGTTTGGGTCTTTTGATATTCGCAAAGTCAACATCTGGAAGAGGAGTGCACAGGTTAAAAACTTTCCAAATCTTTAGCCTACCCTTGAAATTATCCCAAGGACCGCTCCAGGCACCTGCAGCTTTTATGTACATGGTTAGGGGGGAAATCTCCCCCAAAAATTTGTCCAGATCATCTGGGTCCAAAGCTACAGAGTTTGCAAGGAGCAGCTACAAGGTCATAACGCTGAGCCAGAAGTATTGGAAGTATTCATCTCAAACCATCTGAAGTGGGAACTAGAACGGGCAACGCTGCAGACACCAAATTCAGAGAAGCGGGGAAACAAAAAAAAAACACCAGCAGATAAAAAGACTACAAAACTAGAATTCTTCAAATTGGACTCTAGGAGAAATGCAGTCTTCAAACGGGGATGGTTTTGCAAACCAGATTAAAAAAATACTCTAAATAGGGCAGTAAAATAGATAGGGTGCATTTCCCCCTCCCCCCCGAAACAGAAATGTAAATAACTTATTTAAAGTGTCTAGTTGCAAATTGTTCTACAGATCCATGTTAAGAGGAAGCAAGCAGCTCTAAGTAGCCGGTTCAAAGAAAGCCATAGCCGAATCTGGGTGTAAACCAATCGGCGTGAAAATCGGGGAACTTAAAAAAGGTGTGGTGTTTGGAGATCTTCAAAGTTTCAGCCGGTGCCCGTCCTCCAATTAGCTGATCCAAAAAAAGAGAGAGATCTGAAGAAGTTGATTCCATGAAGACTACAGTATTTCCAGATCTACGTGCCGTACTTCTGGATTCAGTTTCTGAAATGGAATTAATTAGGTTTACTTAGCTTAAAAGACGTCACATTATCAACATTGAAGCTTTCAACACACATAAACACATGTAGATAGAGATAGATAGATAGATAGATAGATAGATAGATAGATAGAGTCCTTGACTTACAACAGTTCACTTAGTGACTGTTCAAAGTTTCAAAGTTACAAAGCATGAGATAAGATAGAATAGAATTCTTTATTGGCCAAGTGTCATTGGACATACAAGGAAGTTGTCTTGGTGCAAATGCTCTCAGTGTACATAAAAGAAAATATACATTCGTCAAGAGTCAAGAATCATCAGGTACAACACTTAATGATAGTCATAGGGTCCAATAAGCAATCAATCATACTAGGAAACAGTCAATATAGATCATATATTTATAAGCGGATGTGGGGTGCAGCTCCACCCCGCCCTAGCTTGATTTTTACACCTGTGCCTCGCCCAACCTCGTACAACCAGAAGGTGAGTGGCGCTTAACTAGGACTTACTTTGGGAGTAGGGCTTATGTTAGGCGCAGGTGTGAAAATTGGGCTAGGACTTGTTTTCGGGGTAGGTCATATTTTCGGGGAAACCTGGTAGTTCAAAGCTGAACACCAATTAAAGCGAACTGAGCACAATTGTGTGCCTTCTTTCTTCTCCTGAAACATGCTTGCTGTCTTCTCAGAGCCAACAGAGATTTTCCCCGGGCCGATGTGACTATCCAACTTACATTTTATTCACAGGTTTGTACAATTGTTTGGCCGGCTGGCCGCTGCTTACCTTGAGGTCTTTTTCAAGTCGGTCCACTTCTGCTCCCAAAGTGTCAATGATGTTTTCCCCGTGTTTAAGCATAAACGCCTCTAAATCTTCTAGAGTTTTCACCTGCTGGATCTCCTGCCATCAGATCCAAAGGTAAAAAGTTAGAACAGTGGTGGCTAACCCTTTTGGGCTCCTGTGCCAAAAATTGAGCGCAGGCTCGCACGCCAGGACCCAGAAGGCAATGCACACGCCCCCCAACGCATGCATGCACAATCCCCCCTGACCCCTTACCTGCACTGTGCCTCCCACCTGTTTGAGGCCTTTTTCGGCCTTCCAGAGGCTTGAGGAAAGCCTCTGCAGCCTTTGCTGGCCGAAAAATGGGCCTATTTATTCACTTCTGGTATTTCCAGAAATACAGGAAGTGATGAAACGGGCCTATTTTTCAGCCTGCAAAGGCTTTCCTCAAGCCTTTGGAAGGCTGAAAAAGGTCTCAAACAGGCCAAAAATCAGCTGTGAAACACATGCAGGCGCAGTGAGGTAAGTTTGCCTGTAGCTGGCGTGCTGGCACAAATGGCTCTGCGTGCCACCTCTGCGTGCCATAAGTTCGCCATCACGGGGTTAGGAAAACGAAAAAGGATCAATTATTGTCTGGCAAGGAACTTTTTTTATTTCTTCGCTCTTTTAAGTTACTTTCCAGGCTTTCTCTCACCTGAGCTTACCAAAGTGACACTAAAAAAAAATTGATATAATAGTAGACTGGCATTGATGCGTGCCAATCTAAGGGGCTGAATGCCACAGAGAGGCTTAATGTTCACCATGAACATTTAGACCACCAGATATTTCCCCCCCTGTTTTGAGTAAAGTGCAAAGATGCATCAGCTTAACGTACTTGTAGGAGTTGCTCAATGTCTTGTTTCTCCAGGTAGGACCGAGTGACCACCCGTCCATCAAAGTCCACTTCTGCTTTGAACCTCACTTTGTTCATTCCCATATCTGTAGCTTTGACATCATGGATCGCTCTGAGATAAATAGGAGGGTGGTGACAGGAAGCAAAAAAGGCAACCAGCCGTTAGGAGTTTTTAACAAAAAAAATAAATAGAAAACATTGGCAGGAGGAGGTTTCTCCGTTCTCCCTCTTAAGATTTCCCTTCCGTGAAGTCCTTGATGCTCTCTGAGCTGGATGGTCTTCTTGCAGACGTTTCATGACCCAGTTAGGTAATGTCATCAGTGCTCGAAGGGAGGGAGCAGGGTTTGCCAAATAAAAAGGCAATAAAAAGACCAAAACACCTCCTCACTAACAATCAACACCCAGATGAGCTTAAAAACAAAATTAATACTAGATCAACAGTCAAGAAGTAAACAATGCCCCAATCAAGGAACTACCAACTCAGATAATCAAACAAACAATAAACAATAGCCTAATCAAGGAACCATCCCATAAACACTGACAGGGCAAGCCCACCTGTATACAAAGAACAAACCCCACTCTTTTTGAGTACTGAGGATGTTACTTAGTTGGGTCATGAAACGTCTGCAAGAAAACCACCAGGCTCAGAGAGCACCAAGGACCCCATGGTCTTTTCCCTTCTTTATGCAAACCCCACTCCCTTCTAGCACCGATGATGTCCCTAGCTGGGCCATGAAACGTCTGCAAGAAAACCACCAAACTCAGAGAGCACCAAGGACCCCATAGACTTTTCTCTACAAACCACACTCCCTTCTAGCACCGATGATGTCCCTAGTTGGGTCATGAAACGTTTGCAAGAAAACCACCAAGCTCAGAGAGCACCAAGGACCCCATAGACTTTCTCCTTCTCTCTGCAAACCCCACTCCCTTTTTGCGCTGATGTTACCTAGTTGGGCCCTGAAACATCTGCAAGAAAACAACCCAGCTCGGAAAGCATCAAGGACCCCACAGTCCAATCCTGGCCGACAAAGATTCTCTTGGAAATTTCCCTTCCACGTTTTCAACGTTCTGCTCCAATTCTATTCTGGTCTATCATAGCCAGTTCACCGCTGGGGCTACATGGCTCTCCCACGGAGTCCTCTTACCGGACTACAGGATCACATTCCAGTAACTCAGTCAGCTTCTGAAGCCGGTCGGGCTGGATGGATCTGCCCAGCAGGGCTTCTGTGTTAGTGTAGATGAGGAATGCCGACACCACTCCCAACAAAGTCCCCACGCCCAGAGAGCCCAAACTGTCATAGTAGGGATTACCTAGGAGGGGGGGGGGGGGGGAAAAAAGAATATTCCAATATCACCCAATGAATATCACGAGTGGAAATTCTTCCATATCTCTTTTCATCTTCTGCTATCGGGAGATACAAGCTAATAAAGCATCTCACGTTCTTCCAAGACAACCCCACAAACATATCCGGGGGGGGGGGAGGGGGGAGGTGACACCAGCTTAAGCGGGTGCCATTTTAAAGATGAATGCGTTTATTTATTAGGGCCCTCACATCCTGGACATAAACTGTTTTCAATTTCTCCCCTCAAGATGATTCTGTAGGGAATTGCATGCCAAAACTAGACACAGACAGTTTTTCCCACCCTACAAAACCACCCTGATAAACAACAAATTCCCACAACACTGTCTTACGCCCTGAGATCACAAACCACCTTATAACCATTTGTCTGAAATGGAATAGGGTTTCCTGCCTAAGCAGGGGGTTGGAGTAGAAGACCTCTATTCTATTCTATTCTATTCTATTCTATTCTATTCTATTCTATTC